ATGTCTGGGGGTCAGTGCCTCTGCCAGGTCTTTGGAGGCAGCCATCGAACTGGTCCCCGGCCTGTGGCACAAGGACCGAGGTGTTAGCTCCAAACCAGGGCTGGGCAGTTTGTCCTTAGCTGATTTCGCACCTCCCTTGTGCGTTGGGAAAATTCAGTCTGGTGTTTTAGGAATTCTGCTTTTAAGAGGTCAGGGGCAACACAGAGCAGGACTCCAGGTCTCAGAGGTCGCCTCGGAAGACTGGCTGGACTCATCTTCCTCGCTCAACTGCTGGATTTCTCTAAGAAGCTATCGAAGCCCCCTGGGCTTATTCTGTTCCGGCCTCTTGGAGAGAATCCAGTTGGAGCGTCAGGGACACAGAGCAGTCCATGCGTGTCCCACTCATCCCCGCATCGGGGTCTCCTCGGTGTGCCAGTCCATCCCGTGACATCGCTTAAGAAAAGTCCTCAGCCAGACAGAGCTGAGTCTGGCAGGTCACCTCGTAGTCAAGGCTGTGACTGCCTTTTGAATCCAGCCATGCAAAAGGCAGGAGTCCAAGACAGGACACAGAGGTTCCACTGGGCAGCCCCGCCCTGTCCAAGAGGGACCCCGACTTCAGGTCTTGCAGGACAAGGGAGCCTCTGGAGGCAGGGCCAAGGGACTGCAGTGTGGAAGGCTGTGATCCCGAAGCAAGGGACACCAGCCAGCCTCTGGAGGCCCCGGCCCCAGCCCTCCTCTGTGTCCTTGCCTGGTTAGGAGTCCCCCACCAGGCCAGCGTTCAGGGACAGCTCACATGTCACCTCCTGAAGCCCCTGTAGCGGTTACACCCTCGGGCAGAGGGAGGCCTGCTCTTCTTTGCAGCCCTTGGCCCTTCTCTGGTGGAACGTTAATGGCTCACATGTCTGCTGCCTGGCCCACACTGTGAGCTGGTGCCAGGCCAGGGATTCCAGCTAGAGTAGGCCCAGCCTCGGCCTGGCACAGACTCCACGCTTGTAAAGTATTTCCAAAATGCTACTGCCTAACTCAGAGTGTGATTGGAAGTCTTTGTTTTAAGGGACAATATAAATGCCCCAAAAGTGTTCTGTTTAATTTTTCTCAGCAGAGTTCTAGAAAGGTTAGCCAGGACTCCTTGAGAGTGAGTTCATTACGTTTGCACAGTGTAACTGAGTTCAGCTCGGGCGTCAGAGAGCCCAGTCCATGTCACCTGGACCCCTGAGCTTGGGCGGCACAGGTCGAGCTGCTCACCTCGTGGCCGACAGGAAGCAGAGAGCCAGGCAGGCGCTGGGAACCAGGCTTGCTCAGTGACCTCTTTCCTCCTCAAAAGTGCCACCGGCTGGGGACACCCAGGCCTGATTCACATTCACAGCAGAACAGGAGGTCAGTCTCCACAGGCAGAAAGCCAGAATTAGAAGGGTTTCTGTAAAGACAGTCACCTACAGGGTGACGTCCTTTTACTGGAGTTACAGCAAAGTAGACACCCACGTTCAGGAAAGCAGAGAGATGCCATGAAAACCTGTATGGGCTGGCAGAGTGGCTCAAGTGGGAGAGCACCTGCCCAGCAAGCATGAGGCCCTGAGTTCAAATCCTAGTACTGCAAAAAAAAAAAATCAAATCCTACATAGAAAGGACAAGCAGGGAGCAATGGTTTTAAAGCTGGAGATGCTCCCTCCTTCCAGCTGGACAAAGGATGCATGCTCTTCTTCAGAGCATGGCTGCTTTTGGGGTGGGGCTTTTGTGGGTACTTAATACATTAGTAAAAATTCAGCAAATAAATAAATAAAGCTGACCAGGCTTCGGTTTTCTTTAAGATTTTTTTCCTTTGGCTATGTAGGGTCTTTTGAGATTCTCTGTGAATTTTACAATCAAAAAAAATTGTCCAAAAACAGGCATTGGGATTTTGATAGGGATCACTACTTATAGCTCACTTTGGGCAGTACAGACATTTAAATGACTAACAAGTCGTCCACCCATGAGTGCGGGGTGTCCTTCCATTCTTTGGTGGCTTCTGTATTTTATGTCAGCAGAGTTTGCAGCTCTTGCTATGCAGGTGTTTTGTCTTCTTGGCTAACTGTACTCCTAAGTAGTTTCCTCTTTTTTTGATGCTATTTGCAGTACTGGGATTTGAACTCAAGGCCTACACCTTGAGCCACTCCACCAGACCTCTTTTAGTGAAGGTTTTTTTTTTTTTCTTTTCGCGATAGGGTCTCATGAACTATTTGCCCGGGCTGGCTTCGAACCGCGATCCTCCTGACCTCTGCCTCCTGAGTAGCTAGGATTACAGGCGTGAGCCACGGCACCCAGCACTTGGGTTGCTTTCATTTTCTTCTCAGCTGACTCGCTGTTAGTGTCAGGAAACACCACTGACTGGGGCTAATTTTGCGTCCTGCGCCCTTGCTGAATTTGCTGTAGTTGAAAGCTTCCTGGTGGAGAACCCTTTAGGTTTGCTACACGGGCGATCACACGCGTGTGCGTGGAGGTAGTTCTGCTTCTTCCTCCCTGCCTGCTCCGGGTGCGGAGGGATGCGGCAGGGTTCTCTGTGTGTCCGCTTGTCCTGCTGCTCCTGCCTTGGTGTTTCCACCAGGGGCGTCTTTGGCATTGGTTGAGGTGACCGTGTGCTTTTGTCGTTCACTGTCAGCGTGGTGCATTCTGTCCCTTTGCTGTGGTGACCCATTTTTACCTTCCAAAAACCAATACCACCTGGTCATGGCACAGAATCCTTTCAAGGTGACGCTGGATTTGGGTCGTTTGGGGATTTGTGCAGCGACATTCAGGGGACATTGGGCTACAGTTGTCTTTTATGGTCTTTGCGATGTGATCACTCTGGAACTTTCTGGAAGACTTGAAAGACTTGAAAAGGTGCTCATTCTGTGACCATCTGGTGGCATTCCCCAGTGATACCGTCGGGTCACAGACGTGTCATCGTTGGGAGGTTTGCGTCGCTGACCCAACCTCCTTGCTAGTTCCGGATCTAATCAGATGTTTGGTTTCTTCTTGATTCCATGTGGGTTTGTTGCGCAAAATGAATTTTCTCAGAATGGGAATGAGGGAAGAGAGCAGAACAGGTGACAATCCTTTCATTTATTCGGTTTTTATTTTTGTCTGGTGTGCCCAGTTCTGCGATGGTGCATGGACTGCAGGGTGGCCACTGCGGTGGGGGACTCGACACCGGGGACCTCAGATGCTGAGCACCCAGAGGTGTCGAGTGGCAGCAGCAGATCCCGAGCTGAGCTGAGCTGAGCGACTCAGGGCAGGGCAGAGGGGACGAGTGGCAGGACACAGGAGAGAGTGGACAGGACGGCACGGAGTGGGCACCAAGAAGCAAGAATGGAAAAGAAGCCCCCACCGCCTTCCCGTCGGATCGTAGTGACGGGCTCCAAGTTCAAATGACACTACTGTGGCTAGAGAGAAAAGAATTGGGTGTTCAGCTGAGTATTCTGGTCGTTTTCCACCTTTTCTAGAACAGACAGATCTATGAAAAATATTCCTGGCTACACAACTTCACGCCACTTCTAAGTGATCGGGGACATGAACATTTTAAAGCTTTTTTGAGACCATGGGAAAATCATTTTTAGAAGACTTTAATCCTGCTCCTTCCCTGCTTCTTTACTACCACTGAGCAGCGCGCTTTGAGAATGTTTCTAATTTTATAGACGAAAAGTAAGTCACTGAGATTTTTCCTACTGTTTGCATGAAACCATGAGGCAAAAGCCAGACTCTCACGAAAACGGCATTCCAGTAAATTCAAACTCTGCCAGTGAAACCTCAACTTCACCATGGCACCCAAGAACCCGAGGGTAAGCTCGCAATCTGAGTGAGTTTTGAAATGACACCCCCAAAGCCCTCCTTTCTGGGAGTCTGTGGGAGGCTCTAGGTTACTGAGGGTGACCCACCCGTGTGACACTGCATGTAGGTACAGATTTTGGAATATTTCCTCACTTTATAAATCAAAAATGGTAGGTCGAGTGGACGAAAGCATTGAGCCACATGGCCTGCTAAGGACCAGACAGACTCCACCTGCCAACCTTCTGTAGGGGCGGGGAAGACATGGGGCCACAGCAAGTGACACTCCCTTCTCTCTCCCTGCCATTGATTGACAAAGAGCTGAGCTATGAGCAAAAGACATCACTGATTGAAAAGGACCTGGACACAGTCACCCAGCTTAGGGTTAAGCTCTTGGAGTTAAGTCAGGTGGTGGCCGGCGAGAGGGCCTCTGGGAAGAGGGAGCACTGGGCAAGCCTCTTCCTGCCCATGGCATCTTGCAGTCCAGACACCTGGCAGCCGGGATCCAGTGAGATCTGTTTTCCCAGGGCTCAGCCCCATCCATGGCTGTTTTGATGGCCTGGGTGTGGCGAGGACGGCATAGACACCACCCTCGTGTGGGCAGAGGCTCCGGGCAGGTGCTGCGCACCCAGGATCTTACGTCCAGTTCTGCATGGGGGCCTCTGCCATTTGCAACCAGCTTGGTGACGCTAACGTGCCGAGAGGGGCTTTGCCTCTTGGAAGTGAACGTTCATTGAGCTAACCAGAACACCGGTACATGACCCACCTTCAGCAGATTGACACAAGAAACCCGGTGATCACCAGGGAGGCTGACGACAGACAGGAGGGGCCTGGGGAGGGAAAGGCGGGAGGACAGGAGAGTCTCCAGCAGGGGCTGCTGAGAACTTCGTGCAGTGCCTGGGTCCTTGTCCTCCTCTGCGCCCAACCCGGTCCTCCTCCCCCAGAGAGCCCTCCACAGCTCCCAGCTCACGTCTCACCCCATCCCCACTTGGGCCTTCTCACCAGACTCTGCACCTTCATTGGGCCACTCACGCAGTTTTAGTTAAATCTGTCATGTGCCCTGTGGCTTATGCCTTGCAGGCCAGTGAGAACAGGGGCTCCATCTGCCTTGTGCACAGGGTCCCCCGTTCTAGGAGAGCCCCTCACGCAGAGCAGACCCCGATCCCCGTGGGAGGTGGTGGGTGGATAAGAGTGTGACACACACACGTCCACGGTGGGAACAGCCTTGCCGATTCTCTCAC